CGGCGTATCGGTTAGACTGATTTTTAAAAAATCGGTATCGGTATCGGCCTTCAAAAACCTGTATCGGTCGATCTCTAGAGGGGACTACATGTTTTTTTGTTTATTTTTCGGGACATTAACAGAGGAGACTGAACATTTGAAACCCGACCCCTCTTGGGGCCGTTTTCTGAAACACAAATATTTAAATGTCTTTTCAACTGCAGCTGAACATTGTCTCTCTGTTTTTGAAGTCCCTGTGAAGACAGTCTTGCTGTTAGGAGGACTTTGACTTCTTCTTCCGAGCCGCTGAACTGTCCTGCTGACTCAGAGGGGGGCCTCTGCTCCATGCCGATTGACGGGGAGGCTGCGGCTTGCTGGAAGGTTCGGCAGGCTGGGCTTTTAAGTCCCGGGCGTCACCGCCTTCTTAAACGGAGGAGGATGAGACGCAGACCTGGATGTGCTCGGGGCCTTGGGCCTCGCGTCGCGTCTGGGGATGATGCASCGAAGTGCCTCAGCCTGCTTCTTCCTCTGATCAAATTTGGTTTTGATGACGTCAAGCGCTTGACCAAACAGTCCTGTACGCGTTATCGGTTCATCCAAGTAGGCCGCTCTGTCCTTGTCGGGAACGTCTGAGAGCGTTAGCACCAGGTGCCTTAGCACCACCACAGTAGAGGCTATTCCTTTCCCCAGAGCCAGCGCTGCACAGCGGGAAACACGCAGGATGTGGTCTGACGCCAGTCTGATCTCGTTCAGCAGGGGTAAAAGGGGKTTTTCCTGCGGCATCTGAGCTGCCAGTTCAGCCAAGGCCATGGCCTGGTAGGTCTGAAGCATAGTGATGGAGCTCAGCGCATGGGCGGTGTTACCCTGGGCTTTGTAGATTTTCTCCAGCTGTGCCGAAGAGAATCTGCAGGGCATGGAAGGGAGCAGGGTGGGCCCGCTCACACCCTGGTTGTGAGACGGATCCAAATAAGCRGCTAAAGAAGGCTCCATCGTAGGGATGCCCACCAGGACTGCTTGATCTGCCCCTTCCACGTCCAAGTACTGACCCTGTCCGGGCACGAAGGCGTGGGTGGACAGCRGTTTGCTCCAGGAAGACGTCAGCTCCGACACAAAGTCTGGAAACATAGGCAGACTGTGCTGCACATCAGCCGGTTCAGACGGGAGATAAAACCCTGCGAACCTCGACGGCTTTTGAGCAGGTGGGGGGTCGGGCCACTGTACCTCCAGTTTAGCAGCAGCTCGGCGGCACAGGGACARGAAGGACAAATCCTGGTCCACCCTCTCAGCAGCAGGGGTGGAGTGAGCTGGGCACAGCTCCTCGTCATCTTCGGACAGACTGAGAACCTCCTGCTCCTTCTGCAGAACATCGTCCTCCTCTTGGTTTAGATCCAGTAGAAACTGGGTCTCGCCCCCCTCAATGTCGGATGAGGCCGCCTAGTGCTCCATCTGGTCTGCCCAGCTAGCAGCGGGGGCTTCGACCGCCGAATCCTTGTCTTCGTCGGACTGAGCTGTCTGGCTGGATTCGGAGAGCAGCGGGTCTTGTCTGAAAACAGCAGTTTCCCCAAGCATTTTCTCCAGGAATTTCACTCTCCTCTCCAGTGTCGGACACGAAAGTCTGGCACAGGCCCAGCAGGTCTCGGGCTCCACAAGCGCCCGTTGAGCGTGAATGATTCCTAGGCAGGCCGGGCAGGCCTCACGCTGGTCCTTCTCATGAAGCTTAAAGCCGCACCCCTGAGGACAGGGGCGAACAGAAGACTTCTGCTTCTTCGAAGGTGGTTTTGTGCTCATCGTGAACCACAAAACAGATTTTAGCAGAAAATAAAGGTCACTTAAGTAGCGTCGAGCGGCAGACACACGAACCAGCAGGTAACGCGATTAACACCAGTAAAGCTAGCTTAAGAACCTTAGAAGCTGAGCTAGCTAGCAGCAGCTATGTGAGCTCAGGTTTAGAGGTGACTATCGCGAGGTGAAGGGCRATAGAACTGAGTAATGACGCTGGTGACTCCGACTTATAGGGTGAAGGCGGAGCCTGTCACCCGACGTTCAACGTCACCGGTCTAAAGACGTGTTTAGAGGTGGCTTCAACCAGGCRTGCGAGGGCACGCTTGTCCCATATACAACTGTGTGTTGTACTGAGTGAAATGACTGAAAAGGAACTTACTGTTTCAGGAGGATTTAAATATACTTCACTTTCATAATATTTAGGAGAAAAGGTTTAGCAGTTACTGACCGTAGTGTGAACATCTTTATCAGCAGTGTTATTCCTTTTTACTGGTGTCTCTTTGTCTTTTACAGCCTCAGCTGTCTCCACATGCAGTGGTGAGAATTCTGCTTTACATTTCTCCTCCTACAAGAAATAAAACAGAGAAAAGTGCATTGAACCAAAAATATACAAAAAGTTTTGAATTTAGTAATTGAACTCAGGAAAATGTAGAGCATATCTTTCTGGTATTAAAAAATAGGCACATCATCATGTAACAAACTAGTTTCCTAGGCAAGACTGTGACATTTAAGCTGAATAATAATAAAGAATAATATAAGAATAAAAAACAAACCACTTATTGTCAGAAAAACAAATCAGACTTGTGCAGTTTTCTTTATAAGCTTTAAAAAAATTGGCTGCCTGATCAACAATTTGAGAGCTTTTCTCTTGAAAAAAATGTTTCTTTCACCAAAACCTGTTTATCTCTGCAAACGAATGTAGCATTGAGGAAAGCATCCGTTTTAAAATAGTGAGTGTGTTGATTTATATTAATATAACAGAAGACATAACAAACTGTAAAAAGTCTACAGAAAACCACTTGAATGACAATAGCCATGTTTAAGAAGATGAAGTTAGTGAACTGTGAGTAAATATGGAAAACTACACGTATTTTTGTGGTTGAAGGGTCTAGCTAGCACTGCTTACCTCTCTACCTCTAGAGGAGGAAGATGTTTTATCTTGAGAGGATATGGATGATCCAGACGACTGAGATGATGAGGACCCAGAATCTGATTCTGATGAGGATGAATCGCTCGACGATGATCTTTGTCGTGCTCTTTTCTCTGCCTTCCTTGCATCTCCTCCCCCATCTTCTGAAGTGTCCACTGGACTTGAAGAATTCTTGCTTTCTTCCAGTACTTTAGCACTTTTGAWAGACTCCTTGACAGATGCTTCAGTCTGGGGCGAGGCCATCTGATTTTTCTCCTCCAAAACAAGGTTTTTTGCCCCACTTTCTTTAGGGCTCTGATCCTGTGAAACTTTTTCAGTGCTCTTCTCAGACTGGGACTTTGCAGATCCTACAGTTACAGCACCAACCTCCTGGACTGTTCCAATCAGTGGCTCCTCCTGYTTAGTAGAGGATCGTCGTTTCCCAATACCGGTGGGTGAGGTGACAAGTGAGGCCTGTGGCTGGGGGCTATCAGAGAAAGTACGTGGTCGCTTAATAACCAAAGAAGTGGATGAGGTCTTGGGCTGAACGGGGGAGTCCCTTAGAAAGCGAAACTTCTTAAATGATGAGTGAGAAGGCAGGGGTGTTTCATCAGACTTTGCCGCCTGGGCTTTAGGCTGAGACACTGGAGAATGGACATCTTCCTGCCCTGCCTCTATTGATGATTTTCGAKGCAGTTCTTTGGACAGGGAAGGAGGAGCTGGCTGGGGAGGTACATCAACTTCATGGTTACTTTTGGATGGTTGAAGGTGACTCCCCGTGTCTTTGTCAGCTATCTTTAACTTCTCTTTATCCTCTTCCAGTGCCTTTTGTTGTTTCACCTCTTCTCTCTGCTTTGCTTTCTCCTTCTCCAGTATTTCCTGTTCAAGAGCTTGTTCTTTTTCCTGCTTCAAAGATCTTTTCTTCTCCAGTGCCTTTGATCTTTCAAGTTTCTCCTTCTCTAAAGCTTGTTCTTGCTCTATCTGTTCTTTTCTTTTCTTCTCTGCCTTTTCTTTCTCTCTCTTCTCTTGTTCTAGAGCTGCTTCCCTCTCTGCCTTCTCTTTTGCTTCTCTCTCTAGTCTTTCCCTCTCAAGTCTCTCTTTTTCCCTCTTCTCTAGGTCCAGCCTTTCTTGTTCCAAAGCCTTCTCTCTCTCAATTTTTTCCAACTCTGCAGCCTTCTCGCGCTCTAGTCTCTCTTGTTCCAAAGCCCTCTCCTTTTCTAGTCTCTCTTGTTCCAGGGTTTTCTCCATCTCAATCCTTTCCTTTTCCAACCTCTCCTGTTCAAGAGCTTTTTCTCTCTCGATTCTTTCCTTCTCCCTTCTCTCAGCCTCTAGAACTCGTTCTCTCTCCAGCCTCTCCTGTTCCAGGGCCTTCTCTTTTTTGATTCGGTCTTTTTCCAGCCTCTCCTGTTCTAGAGCCTTTTCTCTCTCGATCCGTTCTTTTTCTAGCCTCTCCTGTTCTAGAGCCTTTTCTCTCTCGATCCGTTCTTTTTCTAGCCTCTCCTGTTGTAGAGCCTTTTCTCTCTCGATCTGTTCTCTTTCTAGCCTCTCCTGTTCTAGAGTCTTTTCTTTTTCGATACATTCTTTTTCCAGCCTCTCCTGTTCTAGAGCCTTTTCTCTCTCGATCTGTTCTCTTTCTAGCCTCTCCTGTTCTAGAGCCTTTTCTCTCTCGATCCGTTCTCTTTCTAGCCTCTCCTGTTCTAGAGCATTTTCTCTCTCGATC